CAAATGGATAGATTCGATACTTTCAAGTACCATAACATAAGCGTTCGACGTGACCAGGTTCACAAGAATAACAACAACATAATTAACTAATTAAAATAATTAGAGCTGAAAGCAACATGACAGGTATTTATTTTCTCAAGCCCCGCGATGTAAAGTGATATCCTGTCTTGTTAGCTGGTGCCTGACTGAATGAATCACGTGACAGCTTAAGCCTGGGACGGTTCGATATTCCAGTTGTAGGCGGTGTGGGTCAATGATATAAGGCAGGAATAGTTGTTATGTGGACGTGTAGTCCAAGTCTAGAAATTAAGAATTTGAGTTTCGAACTTGTTGTAGATACATTGTGTATTGTGTATCGTGTAGGCGTTGTGAATCAATGATATAAGGCAGGAATACATATAATATGGACGTTTTGTATAAGTCTGAGGATGGCATTGTCTAGTGGTGGTTAAATTGCCAACCAGCCAGCCGTTGTTATCCTATCGAACTGCTCATCAGAAGTATGTCTAGTACACAAGTATTGATTGCGCGTGATATTATTGATATATATATATATATATATATATATATATATATATATATATATATATACTAGCCGTCCCGGCCAGGCCCTGCTCTGGCTTCTGTGAAAAACCTTTCTGTTAAAGACCATCACCTGTGTGTTTAGTAATCATTATAAACCGGCATTGCCCACCCAAACCACAACCAACCAAAACCAAAACAACAAAACGCAAACAAAACGCTAACACAATTACAAATACAAACGAAAACAAAAACCTAACAACAAACCCAACCACAACCACAAACACCAATACAAACACAAAGAAAAAACAAACAAAAAAGCAAACGAAAACAAAAACCTAACAACAAACCCAACCACTAACACCAATACCAACACAAAAAAACAACGAAAAAGCAAACGAAAAAAAACCAAATCCAAACGCAAAACCAACCAAAAACACAAATACAAACCCAAAGAAAAAAGCACAAACAAAAACGAAAAAAGAAAGAACAAAAACGAACCAAATCAAAACGCAACCACTAACGCAAACCCACCTAAACACAAAGAAAACACTAACACGAACATAAACGCCCGGGGCGGAATCACCTGTTTTAGCTTAATGAACGACTATAGTACCCCAACTTATTCATAGTCTTTTGCACTCACTTAAACGAACGCGCCTGTTTCAATTTAATGAACAATTTTAATACTCCAAGCTTATCCGTAAAATACCTACAACATTTGCACTTGATCAATCCCCGCTAATTATGTAATTATTTTTTTTCCCAACACCAAAACAAAGTAATAAAAAGTAAATTCTTTTCCACTAATGCAATGGTTTTATAAAGGGAAGTAATTGTGTTTTCCTAATTTATCAAAGGGAAGTAAGTGCTATAGGACTAAATAAAGACATAATTAGAATTTTTGTAAAAGATGATTTTTTTTTTAAAACTTGTGTTTAATGAACATGCCGACAATTATTACTATCAGTTTGAAAAATGAAAATTATTTCCCAACCCTTTCAATAGTAATTTTTTAACTCATAAATTTAGACAAATGCGCACGATAATTGTCTAACACTTAAATCCATGGAATTATGTCAACGACAAACATATGTATTTTTACATACAGAACTGAGCTTTATATATTAGATTATATATATATATATATATATATATATATATATATATATATATATATATATATATACATAATATATATATACATATATAATATATTATTATGTAATATAATATATTATATATTATAATATATATAATATATATATATATATAATATATTATATATATATATATATAATATTATATATTATATTATACATATAATATTTTGATGCATAATGTTGAAATTCAGGAATGTTTTTATATTGTTGTATTAAATCATAATGACGGCTAATTCTTCTGCAAACTTTACATCGCATAATTATGTTATTAGACATTAAGTGATAGCTCTTTAATACACTAAACTTTAATAACAACAACATCAGACATGAAGTGTTAACTCCACGCAATAAATAGACACAAATTTACATTTTATAATCACAGACAAACGGGAATTCCCAACAGACTTATATTTTTAAAAGTTCAGACAAGCTTATGTAACACGTTATATATTTGATTCGTGCTTTAAGACATCAAAGGAAAGAAATTACATAACTTTTTGTACTCGGCTCGGAGTTTCCGCTTCTGAAGTTTCGTCCCTTCAGCGGCGGAGACGTATTTGTCTGGGGGTGGGGGTCGGGGTAGGCTGAGGGCGGTCATTCCAATTGAAAATGTCAACATCCTCTCATTACGTTGCCTGCTGTACAGGCGAGTATGAAAAGCTGCAATCTTTTTACGTCTATCACGATGAAGACACATCACGATGAAGATGTTTCACAATGAATTATTTTTAGGGGCCGCCAGAAAGGCGCTGGTGGGTTTCGTATGACGTACAGGGGTTGCGGATCGTGCGATATCATCGTTTTTGAATATTTAACTCACTTAATCAGATCGAACTGATTTTACTTAACTCGTGGCTGGTAAATATTCAAATCGATGGCTTTTTTTTAATAATGAAAATCATTGAGCACACAAAGTAACCTACATGAACCAAAAGAAAATTGTCTTAGCCTGAAAAATGAATAGTTTTATGAGAATATTTATATATTTGATTTTGATGTGATGAATTTAGATAGACACATGATGAAATTGTCAAATGGAAATAGATAACATATAGATCTAGTACTGTTACTAAAAGTTTGAATACAAATTATTATGCAATATACGGTTGCGTAAAACAGTTTGGTTTTTTTTTTTGTTTTTTTTTCTTCTCTTTATAGATTTATTTTGGTATCCAGTAAATCTAGGTCAAGAGGTTATTGGGAAAAAAAACACGGAAGTATGGTATTAATAAATGTAGTGGGGATGGGGATTTATAAAATCAAGACTGCAATTATAAAAAAATAATGATACCAAACTTGGATTGATAGAGGATAATACGGGCCTGTAATTGAGTGGATTATGTTGGTGGGCCAGGACAGAAGTGTTCATTACCAACTAACCCAATATTTTTTTTCTAATTTCGTTAAAATAAAAAAAACAGGATTTTTTTTATACGTTTACTAAAAGACATTTAGTTCAGGGTTAATAGAGGCAAATATGTCACTGTATGAAAGAAAAGAATAGAGCTATCTTTAGCGTTAGATAATCTTTAATCAAATATTAAATATATAGAAAAAATGTTTGAGACATATCTATGATCATAAATAAAGGTGAGGTTTTGTTTAAATTAATATAGAATAAATGTATACAGAAGACATAGAAAATACTATAATTGTGAAATATATTTTATTCTATAAAATCTAGATTCTGTCATCATGGGATGTTTAAATATATGGATTTTTTGGAGGTTGGAGGTGGGGGGTTCAGTTTGCGTTGTATAGTTAGTTTTTGTATAATTCTAATGGTGAGATATCAACATATCTGGAGTTTAGGGAGTAGACTCGACTTATCTCTCGGAAGTCCCCGAGCTAACTCAGCTAAAAGTGGTACCTTGTTCATGTAGAATAGTTTAAAATTGTCAAAGCTAAGTGCCAAGCAAGTAATATATGTAAACTCTAAGTAACACTAAATAGATATAGTAATATATTTTATTATATACATATATATATATATATATATATATATATATATATATATATATATATATATATATATATATATATATATATATATATATATATATATATATAATATATGTGTATATATAATTTAAATTATATTCTGATTACATTATTTATTTATTATATTACGAGCCGACCCGCTGCGTATCATACGCCGCTATTTAGTTGGTTTTTTTCTACTTTTCAGTAATTTATAATTTGTGAATTCGACAGTACCAATGCTGCCATCTATATATATAATTCTCTTCTTCGAGCCGTTAGAAAACAAGCTGCAAACGCTCTCCCTACCTCCCCACCCCTACATGGTTTTAGTGAGCTGTGTTCACTCTAAATGTTTACAAGCAGAGCCAACGATTTTAAACGTAGGGGGGGGGAGGGGGGGGGGGAAGGAAGGGGGGGGGGGGGTTATGGTCCTTAACGAGCTACTTATAGTGTTTTAAAGAAATATTTTCAGTGTCAGCGTTGGTACTGTCGAATTCACAAATTATGAATTATTGAAAATTAGAAACAACTAAATAGCGGCGTATGTTATGCCGCGGGCCGGCTCGTTGAAAATATTTGCTTAAAAACACTAAACCCCCCCCCCCCCCCCCCCCCCACGTGTAAGCAGCCTCCTCTTAGTTACCTCCTCTAAGTTTAAAATCGTTTCAAACTAAATTATCTGCCCCTAATAGCCGTCACCAAACACGTCTCTATGATTGTAAAATGTAAACAGAGTGAACACCGCTCACCAGATCATGTGGGGGTGGGGTGGGGGTGGTAGTGATGGTGATAGAGAGAAAGAGAGGGGACTGCAAGGAGGTGCTTGCAGCTTGTTTTCTAACTGAGCCCAGAAGAGAATTATATATATAGATAATTATATTAATGAACTCTCAGCTGTGCAATAACGGTAATATCTTTATCCTGCAGTAAACTTTGGTAAACAAACAAAGAAAATTTTTCAGCACGTCGTGTAAACGTCGTGTTAAAGTTATAATAGAAAAACCTTTACATTTATACTGAATTTTTGCTTGTATATTTTGATCCTATGAACTTCGTAACCGATATGTGAAATGTATTAAAAACACAGTTAAAAAACAATTACTCTAACATCAATCAGAAAAGTGCACAGCTTTTTGAAATCCTTCCCAAGCTCATACATGCAAGCCATGTTAGTTTCTTCATCAGCTCTCATCCCTCGGGTTAAAGCACTCTAAATCTCCCCCGAGGAAGCGTTTCTTAGATTATGTGTACCTGGTGCCCTAGATTCCAATGTCGTTACACAGTCTCCGTGTGTCAGCGTGTATGACAGGTCCTAGATTGATGACAGTCGCTTGGGTCAGCAGACGGAATGCCGTTTGTTGACTAGACATGCTAGGCGCAGTCCGGTCAATATATGCGTCTGATAGGGGATATAACCCTCGAGTAAACTTATCTGCCCCTGTCGACGTGATTTCATTTCCTTGGAGAAAGGTAGGTAAATATGCATTTTATATCTGAACTATTCGTGCCAAAATGTATTTATTATTGCTTTAGGACATTCTTAGCAATACATTATAAAACGTGCGCCCTTCTAAAAGTGTAGTTCAAACACAAAATAATCAATTTGATTAGATTAGTTTCCGTCAGTACGGTGTAGCAATGCAGTGGCGTCACTGGAGTGGGTGATGTGGCGTCAATATGGCGGGTGTGGTGGCGTCTCTTGGAGGGGGGTGACGTGGCGTTACTAAGTCCAGCGACACCCTAAGTTACTCCCCATGTACAATTTCCTCCACCCCAGCATTTCGAGTGAGTACCACAACATCTCACACCAAATATTAAAATTTTACAGCATAAAACATGCTTTCTTCAGTACACCTTGTAATTTGTCCATTTATAGTCCCGCCCCTAAAGTAAATGGTATCTTCCGGTGCTAAAAATACCCTCCTCCTGTTTCTCCCCTAGCGACTTTCCAATGTTCAAGAAAAAACAGATCGTTAATGTTATAAACTTGATATTATTATTATCTAGTTTATGTAAATGGGACGGCGTGGTCTAGCGGTAGAGAGCTAGACTATTAATCCGAGTTTCGAGTTCAAGTCCGGGTTCAGAGCAGTCCCTGAATCCATCCAGGCCTGATGGGTACCTAACATACGTTAAGGAAAAAAGGCGGCTGGGCATAGTGCTGACCACACTATCCCTTCATATGCCAAGGTCTATGAATCTGATGAACTCTAATCCATCTACCCCACGTTTCTTGGGCACGAACGGGATTAAGAAGAGAAGAGAGTTCTTGTATAATTTATAACAAACACCAGTACATTTTATGCACAAAAATGGTCTAGAAATTTAATATTTTTTTAAATAAAGAAATCTGAATTGATTTTTACTTTCGTTTCCAGATGAGGTTGTACATCCTGTTCGTGCTGTCCTGTCTACTTCCGGTCGCGGCTCCAGGAAAAAGTATGTTTAAAGAATGCTTCTACTGCTTCCCCTACACGCCCTGGTACATCTACTTCGAGCGCTGGCACAGATGTATGTGCCTGTGTGTAGCCAAAAAAAACCGCTGCAGACTTCTGCCAAAAAGGTTAGCCATGGCCCAGCTTAATCAGTTCTTTTGGAACATGCAATAAACGATTGGTTCTAGTAAACTGCAAAATAATTTGATATGATTTTAAATTTTTCATACGTATGTAATTCATTAATTATGTTGTAAATATAAAATTGCATATTGTATTTATAGATTTCTAAATACTTTTGACTAATTAACGATCTCCATATATTACAAATTTATGTTATGAACCAAGAATAAGAAAAGGATCTACTTATTAATTAATTATTTTTTTCCCTGTAATAGGGGAAGTAACTAATAATATGCCAAACGAGCAACGAAGAATTTGTTTTCAATAATTTATCGACTAGATATTGAACGTGTTAACATATAGATATATGTAATGAGTTGAATACAACAATGTTTTACTTTAACTAGTGTCCGCGTGAAAATCGTGTTACATCATGCTAGTCATGTGCTTCTATTAGACGTTTTTTCTTCGAGGGGGGAGGGGCATTGGTAAAAGTATATTCTATAGAAACTATACTTCCTTCGAAAAGGGGGGGTGGGGGCTTGGGGGGGGGGGGCGTAGATGTTCTTTGAGGTTGGGTGGCAGAGACGCCTGAAATAAATTCAGTGCTAGTCTTATCTAGAAAAATAAGTTATATAAAAATATGTTTCTACCATCTTTCCCCGGCTAAGCACCCATCATGTACAGCTGTGTTGCGCTATAAAATATCTCATCTAAACCCACAATGGAGACAGCCCTTAACTTATAAACACTACTTCTCTCCCTTTCATCTATTAAAAAATCATTAGTTAGTGATAATCTTCTAAATTAAATCTAACAACAGTTAATGTACCCAGCTGTGTAATTTTCATTAGGCACCACCTAGACACTGCTTTATGCCCGGCCCTACTCAGTTACTGCTTACTGACCTAGAACAAACAACGGACCAGGTCGAACAACCCGGGTCTGTAATTTACCATCCGACGATGTAATCAGGTGAACGCGGTGTTTAGCTAACTGTAAAGATAATTTCATCTGATGATACGTGAATACTTTAAACAGAAACTAGACGGAAAATTTAAGGCGTGGTATTATTTGTAATAGGCTACTGATATTCTCTTCAAAACTAGTATTTTTGTGTATTATGTCTTGATGGCGCATAGACGCATTAGAGATTGTGTGATTGTTAAGCTACGTATAACAACGATCTGTGTGGTCGGTATAATAAATATACGTTGGGAGTTGACAAAAAAATCTCTATTTTTTCACATGTTAAATACCTCATATATGTGTAAGTGAAATATTGTGTTAAAATAAACAGATTCAGTATGGCTATCGAAGAGTTAGAGTTTTTGATTATTCTAGATTATCCGACTGTTATTAAAAAAATTGAAAGTAAGTCTCTAGGATTAGTGTGTGACAGTATTATTAATCAAACTGGAAATTTTCTATAAGCAATTAAAAAATCAAGTAAATGAGCAACTACAAGACCACAATAAAGTGTCAAAAAGCACCATATTTCAAATATATTTCCAACATACCTTCTGTCTAGACATTCATTATCTAACGTTATGTAGGCAAACGCCATTCAAAGCAGTCCCCCGAACAGAGAAAAAAACTGTTTGACTTGACTTAAGAAAAAAATATATTACTTGACTACAGAAAAAAAAATCCCTTTGTCCCAAAACTCAGACATGTCCAGTGAAGATAATAAAATAACTAGCCAGTGACGTCACAGCCGAGTCGAGCGGAAACGTGTAATGAGGTCCCTGTAACAAACTCACTTTTCTGCCTAATTAGCATTTTAATGAACAGGTAGGTTTTAAAATTGTTCTGATTTCTGGAAGCGCGTAGGTAGAAGGCAATGAACTTCCATTTTTCTTTCAATGTGTGAGCATAAGGGTTTTTTTTTATACTGAAAACTTCAAAAGTTCTTTTTTTAAAGTCGAAATATATTATCATGAAGAGTTTTATGACTTCCAGCATTTGACGTGATTTGCGTTAAGCTCATATATCGCCACATTCCTACTGAGACAAGTGTAGACGTGTGTTAAAAATATATCAAGATACTTCAAAGAAGACCTGTAATAACCAAGTTATGCTATGGTAACAAAAATCTGAGAAACATAAATATACTGTCAGGTAATATTTAAAACAAATCAACAGGGTTTGAAAGTGATATACAGTTACAAGATATTTTTTCACTAGATGGAATTTTGTTGGTAATTATTCCGTCAAGGAACTGAATGAAATACAACACATTTTGCTGTAAATAATATTTAGTTGCATTATGAGACGACGGCTTGATGTGCTAACGGGACTGGGGCGCCTATGTGTTATAAAATTAATGATGTACACGGGTTTAGCGACCTGACCTCACATAATTGCACAGATTAGCAGCACTGGTAGACCGTGTGAAAAAACTGACTTGAAAGTAAATATGTGCACAGAATGGAACTTGAATCAATTGTTTCGAAAATAAACAATTTTTTTAAACAGTTTAGTCTTGATTTGTGTGTAGGTTTATCTTAAAAAATTTCTAACCAACTCTTTGTAACAGTCTAGTAGTGTTTCTGCATAGGCTGCTGATTGTTACATTGTTGATTATCGTTCTTGACTGCTCTATGTTACATCATAACGATGCTTTAGTCTGCTGTCTGTTTCATAGTTCGATCCAAAATATCTTTCTAGACTGCTGTCTGTTACATAAGTAGATCCAAAATATCTTTCTAGACTCCTGTCTTTAACATAGACCGATCCAAAATATGTTTCTGTACTACACTCTGTTACTAAGACCGATCCAAGATATATAATGCTAGATTGCTGTCTGTTAATCTTACCCCTGTTTTCAAACTCCGCAGTGTAGTGACACATCCTAACGATCCAGTGTGCTAATTAAAGAACGCTGGGCATTTAGCGACACTCAACTCCTGATGTTTACACAAGGGACTTGAAATACCAACAGTTAATTACGATATGACACTTTTCAACCTGAAATATCAACAGTTAATTATGAAGTGACACTTTTCAATCGCCTACCAGCGCTATCGTCGTTGATGCGTGGCAGCCTTTCATACATCGCGCGCCTGTTCCTTTAGATAATGGCAGCAATCAATGCAGAACTAGCATAGTATGGTAGGATGCTAAAACTGGGCTAAAGTATGATACAGTATTGATGTATTTAGATCTTATGGTGTTGGTGAAGTGGATGTGGTTAACATTGCTGTTGTATGTACAGCAAAATGTGTACTGTTATTCATAAGTACACACGTTTTAAACTGATATTTGGTGAAACTGAATTTAAATTTACTATTTAGGAAATAACTAGTAGATATATGGAACTCATGTTAACTTTTCTGCAGCTTCTTGGCGCTCCATTTCATTGGGAGTTCTTTGAACGGTATATCAGATGCGTAGCGACCCTTCTCGGCGCACGGGGACAAACTTTCGATTTGCACCCCCCCCCCCCCCTCAAACCCTCAAACTTTCGATTTGCAACCCCCTCATACTTTTGAGGTCGGCGCCCGCGGACATATGAGCCCCCCCCCCACTCGCTACGCCTCTGCGGTATGTTCTATACATAATGTAAGATCTAAGTTCGATTCTCATCAATGAGCGCCCAGGTTTTATTTTTAGTCATACTAGCACATAGCTTTTTACACCAAAATAAATTTTTCATTTTCCTTTTTAGTATTTTATATCATTTGTGGTTTTTTTTTTTTTTTTTTTTTTTTTTTTTTTTTTTTTTTTTTTTTTTTTTTTTTTTTTTTTTTGGTGATTTGTGAAAATCAGAAAAGCCTTTTTTCCTTTTTTAACTATGGTCCTGTTGAATTTTTCAGATTTTGTTGTACCTGTTTTACAAAGTAAACGTTTAATTTTTCAGATTTTGTTGTACCTGTTTTACAAAGTAAACGTTTAATTTTTTAGATATTGTTGTACGTGATTTACAAAGTAAACGTTTAATTTTTCAGATATTGTTGTACCCGTTTTACAAAGTAAACGTTTAATTTTTTAGATATTGTTGTACCTGTTTTACAAAGTAAACGTTTAATTTTTTAGATATTGTTGTACCTGATTTACAAAGTAAACGTTTAATTTTTCAGATATTGTTGTACCTGTTTCACAAAGTAAATATCTGATTTCTCAATTATTTATGTACCCGTTTTACAAGGTAAACGCACTAAGGTTTCGTGGAGAAATGTATATGAAATGTACTTCTTGTTTTCAGCTATAAGTCTATCCTTTGAACGAAAAAAAACAACTTTTTTCCACTTCTGTTGTGATGTCACAATACTCATTAGTCACGGCAATTGTTAATTGCAAAAACAGAAAATAATCAAATTTAAAAAAAAAATAAAAACTGCATCACCTTTATGTTTCAAACTCAACTCCTAGCTGACTTCCTTGAACTAATTTCAATACAGTTTAAAAAATAATCCCAGGGCACTTTGATTTTAGTCTTGTAACAATACGCCAGACTTTGATGGTGATTTATAGGGTATTAAATGACCCTTTGAAAGGTCAAGCGGATGGGAGAGCGAAAGTTAAACAAAGTTCAATGAATTCTGATTTCTTCCTGCCGAGTTGAATGTTTTTATAATCGCCCCAATGGCCAGGTCCCAGCTTGCACGCTACAATTAAAAAGTAAATATTTAGTCCAATTTATTTCTTTTAATGACGGCTGATGAAGGGTTAATGACGTTTTAATTAGATGTCTGAGATGTGATTGATGGTATACTATACGTCGGTGAAGCTTGAATCTAATTACTGTTACAAAAGCTATTTTAAGCTTGGGTGGTGTTAGTTTTTCATGATAACCTAACGTTTTATAAATTACTTTGAGATTTGAAATTTAACAATTATAAGTAAGCTAAAAAAAACAAAAACATTAAAACTTAAACTTGCTAATCGGTGAAATAAAGCTTAACGTAAGTCCAATGTTAATATAGAAGTCGATGCAATTGAAAGTATACATCCTATGTTTGTACAACAGTACAGATTCTACATTAAAAAAAAATCAGTTCTTTCGTCCCATTAAGATCAAATGACCGCTTCGTGCTTAGCTCTTCGACTTGCCTTTAATGACCCTTTGACCTGAGCTCC